ATTGGCCGTTCAGTGGGTCAAATTTTTACATTCAATAATACGATAGCCCTACTGTGGTCTTGTTAGAATGCAAATTTAGAAAGGCTTCACGAGGCACAAATGACATACCCTAGTAGTCGCAGTGAAGCTAGTCAGGAGAAAATGTGCTTTAGGTGAGCAGTAGAGTAAGCTTTCATATGCTTTATTTACTGATCAAAACTGACCTGCCAGTTACGATGAGGGATTTTAGCGCACATTTACACATCCGAATGCCAAGTGGGAAGTTGTGTTCGTTTACCGTTACAGTGGCGATTTGACCTTTACGGGATGACTTTATGTTGAGATACATGCTGAGGTTGATGTTGCATGCACCATGCTTCCGCACCGCAGTTGGGCTACACCGACTTACACGTAAACTAGATCTTCCTTATCTAGATAAAAAGTATTCCACTTTATTTGATTTGCTCAGTTCCGCTCTTCTGCTGCATGTTCTGTGTCAATTTGGCGTGTTTGCTTTTCCTCAAATTCTATGCTGGTTGTTCGATATCTCCGGTGTGGCTGCGCTTGGTGTGAATGTTGTCTGACATTTTCCACCTCAATTACTGGCTCCAGGAGACTATAAATCGTTGCTGAGGGGACGGAGTGTACGATCTACGTGGACGCCATAGGTTCAAAAGAGTGGTCCCACCCAGTGTGGAGCGGTCTACGGTCCAGCCACCGCCTTGTGTACGTCTGGTATGCATGATTTCCCAATTAGACATGAATGCTTCTGCTCTGCTTGTTGAAGGAGTGTGGGCCGGCTCCGTTGATGAAACGGGGTTCCTATCCGCATGCCTCCCGGTCTTATTCCTTTTGTTTTACACTGAATATAGGGTGTGGGGATAGAGCCGCGGGTGTTGCAGCCCAAGCGACCCATGGTCCCTCAGTAGGTGCAGGCGTCCTGTGGCTGGCCACAGTGACAGGTAAATCCGGAAACGGATGCCGCCAACGATATATATATATATATATATATATATATATGTATATATATATACATGCTGCTTAGTGGATAATGGTGCGGATTCGACGTGGCAGCGAGCGCATCGTCGTACTTAGCTAGCCGTTTATTAGGTCCTGTTACCAACAGCGATCTCGTTAGATTGCGAATCTATAGAGACGCCTGATGCGACGTATATCCCGAACCCTACTATTCTCAGTGAACTTAGCCAAGAAAGGTGCCGCTAAGGTCCAAATATCTGATTAGTTAATCGTTATGGAGGTGTCAGTCGCAACAGAGAACAAACGTATGCTTTAATCTATCAAAATGCGTAGCGAGGTAGTGTCTTCCCTTTTGGTCACAGCACATGGTCATTGTCTGTTGATGTGGAAGGTCGTCTAGGCTTCGAATCGTCACCGACCGACATATTGCTGAGTTCAAAACACAAAGCACTTATAGCCCTTCGTGCAGCTCATACAGTCCTGCCAATATGCTTGGCTAAGCAACTGAGGTGTCTAAAAGCTTTGCCAATTTTGCAACAAAATTTCACATACGCGTTGTTCGTTAAGCTCTTTCATTGCCTCTTTGGCACCAATCCGACGACCGTACGTACTCACTACAGTGGCTACAGCTCCCCAACCAACAGTCAGAGCGAAATGCGGTAAATGGAAGTTTGTTGTTTAAATAAGTATCCGCAGCGCGCACCCTCTGCCGATTGTCGCTCTATTACAAAATTTCGGTCTCATTTTAAACACACCTGGTAGATTACGAGTGCGCGGTCCCCGACAGCGGGGCTAATTGTGAAAAGCCGAAAAATGCAGCGCTGCTTAATATGTTGCTGTGTTCGCACCGAACGTATTTCCATGCGTTGGAGAACCTGTAACACTGAAAATAGAAACCACGAAGTTCATTTATTTGAAACTTTTCCTTGTTACGAAGCTGCATTACGCATTTGCGATGACTGAGAACGCCAATGCACAGTACACGCAAATTCCAGTTGCATGGCAATCAGGATAACAAGTAATGCATATTGTACCTATACGTGCATGTGTACCATTGGACAATGTAAACAGCAATTACAGGGTTACCGCATCGACAGATTCGCTTTAGCTGGATTTATCTGTCACTCTATGCGCGTTTTCACATCGTACGCTTAAGATGAGGACACACAGATGTGAGTGGCCGGCAACGGCTGAGGAAATCGGAGGTGGGACAGCTTAACAAACTCAGTGCAATTGTCACAGAACTTCACGGGAGATGGCGTGGCTCAAGTCAATTGGAAGTCTACGAACAGCTTGGTTTCGTGAGACAAGTTTTCGTATACTTACTTCTCCTCCTGTGAGATTTTCACCAGTAGAGGTGATATTTCATAGTTGAAAAAGATACCCGGGATACCCTGACCATCGTCCATTACGGGGGTCCCCTTAGAGTGCCATGTGACGGAGTACTGATTGGATTCCATATGAGAAAGAGCGTTTGTCTGAAGGTGGGAAATAAAAGACGAAGAAATGGTATAAGAAACGCAGTGGCGAGCGGATGACATATATTTGTAAACAACAGTGGTATGAAGTAGGATAGTGTTCCCCGCAAAAGTTGAAGAAATTCTGAATGTCGACCAGTGACCCAGTGGTTCATCGACGTTTCCAGTCTGCGTTGGTGTGAACGACCTAGCAGCATCCCTAGCCTGCAAGCGGCTTCTGATGGTCGTGCGGCAATGAAGCGTTGACCGGTGTACTATTCATACCTCCTATATATATATATATATATATATATATATATATATATATATATATATATATATATATAATTTCCACTCTAAGCTGGACACTCTAAACGAAATTGGACGATGTCCAAACCATATTGCTAATACAACCTGCCCTTGCCATGGCCCTGTGTCGACTTGATCGTGAGCGTCGTTCACCTCGACCAAAGGCGGTTACCCAGTAATCACTCGTTCTTCGAGTATTGTGTGTATCTGTGCAGGATAGTCCATGGCTTACTGAGGCTTACGGTGCCAACATCTTGACTGATAATCGACTCGCTGTTTCCAATGTTGTGCTGTGGACTCATATCCTAGACGATTCCTCGTGGCGACTGATGAGTGGGACTTGGGCTACACCCCTTTTCTAGCTAAGGGCCGATACACACAATTTCCTTTTGAGCCTGTTCACTGGCTCATGGCGCACGGCTTGCTGCATTTCGGAAGTACGTTTTATCGAAGATTTTGGCGGAGGATCCGAGTCGTTCACTTGTTCAGGTTTAGCAGTCCACTAGTCCAAAACCAATTAATAAAATACACCAATACTGATAATGTCATTCTGCATCCGCCGTCGCGCAATGATGGGGGAGCAAAAAGGGCCGCCTATCTGCTCCAATGGATTGGAGGCGTCCGCGTCCGGCTTGCGTAGCACCACCCACACACCAAAAAAATAAGACCGGAAGGCGTGGGAATGGGAGCCACATTTCATTAACGGAACCGACCCATACTCCAACATGCACAGTGGCAGCATTCCTGTCTATCTACGTTGGGAACCATGCTTACCATGAGTACGTAAAACAGTGGCTGGGCCGTAACACGTTTCGCACTGGGTGCATGGAACTACTCTTCGAGTCTAGCACAGTCACGATGACCGTGCAGCCCATCTCTCAGCAACGACCAGCTATCTCCTAGAACCAGGTGGAGGGGAGTGAAGATATAGGCACCTTGTCAACATTCGCTCAGGCTGCTGGACAGCAGGTGGCGGAAGAGCAATGTGGATTCTGCTGGGGCTGCGACTCAGGAGAAATTCCGAGAACACTGTTCTCGCTAGTTGTCGATTTTATTTGACACTGTGAACCGCGAGGCACTGTGGCTAGTTTCGGATAAGTCTGGTTACCTCAGTAAGTTTGTAGTCTAACTGAGCGTCTACATAGTGGGATGCAGGCGAGGGTGCAGCTTTGTGGACAAACATCGGATGATTGATATTGTCTCTGACGTGAAGCAAGACTATGTTAGCGCATGTCGTTTATTATTCACTTAAGTGCTATGATATCCTGAGCAATTCATGCTTGTGATTTTGGTGTCCTTGTGAGAACCGAATTGATGGTGGGTTGCTGAATATGCGTCGTTTCGGGGCGAGAACCCTAGTATGTGAGACAACCATCCGTATGTTGATGTTTGTCGACGACTATACATTGCGCACTCGAGTTGAAACGCATGACGACGGCTCTCGTTTCGACAGCGGCCAAATTCGTGCTCATCATAAACGCAAGCAACACCGTTCACCTTTTAAAACCTTCACTGGAGGCAGAATCCGTGGGCCTGCCGCAAAAAGAGATTGTTACCGAAGGTTTGGAAACCACCACCCGATTTCACTACCTGGCAGATGACAAGCGAGCTGCGCACCCGTGTATCGAAGGTAGCTACTGCATTTGGAATGCTGGAAAACCTATTAGGACGAAGCTGATGGTGTACCGATCGATGGTGATGCACGTTTCTCTACATGGCAGTAAAACGTGGACGCTGTACCGCAAGGGTTTCCGGTATCTGGAGCGCTTTCACCCACACTGTCGGATCCCACGCATCGGTTCCAGTGGCAGAGTTGCAGACACGAAAGTGCTGCACCGAAGTGGCATGTATACAGTGGACTGTATACTTCTGCTGCGGCACCTGAGGTGGCACGGACATGTCCGCCGCATGGATTCGACGAGGCACGTGCGCTACATCATCGTTGCAGTTGGTCTGTGTTTGTGCATGCGTGTTGTTTTATTGGACTTTAGGCGTTGGTTAATTGATATCCCCGGTGTGACTGCGTTTCATGTGAGTGTTAACAAGGTGCCTACCTGCTGAAAAACCGCTACCTCGATTATACTGGCCTCGTGAACATGCTAGGCTCAAAGAATGGTTCTACGTATTTAGTGTGGAACAGGCCACGGCCTGGCCATCGTTTTGTGCACTTCTGTTGCGCATGATTCTCACATTAGCAGGACAGGAATACTCCTGTTGTGCATGTTCAAGAGGTATGGGCCGGCTCAGTTGGTAAAAGGTGGCTTCAATCCACATGTCTCCCGGTCTTATTCCCTCTGGTGTACACTGGATATGGGGTGTGTGGATGGAGCTGTGGGTGGTGTAGCGCAAGTCACCCACGGTCCTTCTGTAGGCGCAAGCCTCATGTGGAGACCGCAATGATAGCTGAATCCGGAATCGGATACGTCAACCTGCGGAGATGCGCGACTATCATCGATTGGAAAACCGGATAGATAAACGATCTATTCTGTTGTGACTCAACCAGCATTAGCCTGCTGCTTCAGGGAACAACCGAAATTAATAAAATGACGACGAGAAAAAAATCTCCGGGACAGCAAAGGTTCAAACAGTCTTTGGCACAGAGATCCTTAACAAGTTGCGTTCATTGATGAAGAAGCCACCAAATGTTAAATCAGATAGAAAACGTGTTCGAAGATCAACACATGCTGACCAATCCGACGCATAACCACTCGTCAAACGCCGTCATTCACGAAAACGCCAGAAGGGTAACACTGCGATTTACGTCCTTTATATGATGATGAACTTGAAGATGAATGTAGCAAAGTAGCCTTTCATCAACCGAATGTCGAACGTCAGTTTCTTCATTGTCAATAAATTGCTGATGCTCCACGCAAAAATTAGTCGTGTCCAGGTTGACTTAAAAATGTTCAGTTTAAAGTGGAAATGGTATTGTATGTAAAAACGCACGGCTAATTTGTACAGCGGCAGCAAGTGTACAAAACGGAGGACTTAGAGTATCATCTGATGGACACTTGCACTCTAACGTGCAAACTACGCGGGGTGTCAATATCGAAATTCCCCCGCTTGTTTTGTAGCAAACGAGAGACCGACTGATTAGATACTGCCCGATGTTGATTTTTTAGCGCTGAAAAAATAATGCAACGAATACGAAACTGCATGCTTCGTGAACTGGAACATTAGCGTTGTTGTCAAAAGTAATCGCATCAATGAGACAAAGTGGGCACGAGTGTCAGCAGCTCTTGGAGAGGCTTGCAGCCATTTCTATTAATCACCCAGGAATAGGAGGGAACCACCGAAGTTATTGCCGGATAGTGGCCTAATGGATCACAAGCCTGCCTTGTAATCCGGGGACGCCAATCCGAGTCTACGTAGGTGAGTCTCGTGGTATCTTAAGCGCACACGCGACTGGTGGTGATTACGCGGCAGCGAATCATCGGCACTGCCTACTGGCGTACTGCTGATACCACTTTTTTTACCCCTGACATCCACCTAAGTAATTTGAGCTTAGTGACCAATGCAGTTGGACCCATTGGCACTTCACTGTTCGGATTATATGTGTTTCACTCTGGTGGGTGGGCTGCACTAGTTATGGCCTGGAGTTTGCGGATTCCACTAGTCAAGCACCTGAAATCAAAGTTGGGGCAGAAACGAAACCACCGCATCAGGATAGATGGGTAGTAGCTCATAGCGATCATACAGTGTGGAGTAATAAGTTGTTATCGAAAACAAGTATCACAGATTCACGACGACGCGACATAAGATGAGAGCACAGGTTGTAGCCACCTAGAAGCGCCCATATTGGTGTGGATGGAATTTGTGTCTACTGAGGAGTTGACAAGTTCGCAGTATTCACCCGGACAGGATTTAAACAAGAGTTGCGAGAGGAGAGGGTAGCTACACCCGATCAAGAAGTCATTAACAGAAGAGATTTACGGATGAGCGAGACTGAATCGCGGTACAGAAAGATTTCTTGGGAAAATACAGCTGTTACAGGTCAACTGAGTATGTGAAGCGTATTAGAAGCCAAATGTAAGCATATGTGTGTATCTAGCTCATGGAACAGTGAGAGCACATGGTCGGTAGAACCTGAACTAATCGAACGACCATATCCGTTTGAGGCTCACAGGACCCTGATTTGTATCGCATAGGACACCGGGCCGTCGTAGAACATCCGCCGCGTCCTCGAACTGAGCTGGCGGCGATAGCGCTGGTTTATCTATTACCTAGACTACAGTCCCATGGATTTCAAGGCGAACGTTTATGGCAATAACTGCTTGTGCCAAGTGCAACAATTTGCCTGGGGATGGCGCTCGCGGGCCGCAGAAATCATGGCTGGCAAACCGAATAAAGGATGAGACACTCACCGTGACGTTGCGTTGCGTGTAAATGGTTGGTACAAGTTTCAGGTAGTAATTGATCATCTGAAATGCTGAAAAGTAATTAACGAACGTTTGTAAATAAGCATATAGCAAAGCTGAAATCGTGCACAGCCTAGAATCGAGTGAGCGACCAAATCGAGAACGAACAGTTGGGAAAGCTGCTATGCTCACGTTCACGGGATGTAAACGAAGACACTGACCCTGGAATGTACATCGTCTCGGTATGTTTCATCAAGTCCTATAGGCAACAGTTTGATTGCGGCCCGTCGGGTAGGGAGATGTTACGTTTGAGCCAGTTGTTGTTAGGATAAGCAACCAGGTAAATGAAAAGCGAATGGCTGACAAAACAATAGGCTAACACAACTATTCGTAAATTATGATAGGCGCTGCATAAGTGCATGTGAGAATCCATCACACCGAGACTGGACCTTAGCGTAGCCCCGTGACCCGATGAGCTATGATGCGAAGACACTTTACAAGTGCCTTCAGAGCCACTCATACCAGACAGGTCAATGGTTAGGGGTCAGATTAACTCAGTTTCACAATTCAATCCTCTTCGGAGTTTAGGGAGAGTTCTATGGCCATCTTCCTTTAAAACTTAGCCATGGGAGACAACAGATCAACGTGTTATAAGCTCACAGCTCGATTGGAGTAGAGCACGAGCACCATGCATTGTCTCTGACGGTGAGAGCACACCGCCAGTTGCTCAATGGTTTGCTACCGCCCGCCGGAAGCCAGAGAGCCCCTAGTCAAATTGGTGCAAACCCGCCAACTCCCACCTGTGGCTGGTCGTGGTCGTACGTACGTCACGTAACGATCGTAAAACACGCATTGTACTAAATCTTCAAGGGTTGTATGTGACAGGCCCCAACTGACCCCAGCTGGTCTCTACAATCATACTCCCGAGCTTTACTTGCTTCCTACGGCCTTGTGTGTCAGGCTTTCGAGCCAAAGGCCAGAATTAGTGCACCTCGAACAAAACTTCTCCCTTGGAATTGGCCTCCAGAGAGTATCGTCGGCTCTCTCGACCATCGATAATACTCCCTCCTTCTTTTCTTCTTGTTTTTATCCTATTTCTTCCTCGGCTATTGGGTAAGGATCTCCCACTGATCACGCTGCTGCTGCCATCTGTACATATAGCTCTTCCATCCAACCACAAGTCTCATTTCACATAGGTTCTTTTAACCTCCGCACTTTATATCAGTCCAGTCAACAGCCTGCACTGACTCTCACTCTTCACTCTTTAAGTATGGATGTGTGCTGTGGCTCCCAAACACGCATACAAGATAACAGCGTTGTAACGAATCTTCGACTCCATGGTTCTGAACCTGAGGACGATGACTACACTTTTCTCGTCTCTGGTGATACCGAGCCTGGCTCACCCTCAGCTGACATGCTGTAGTTAGTCTTCTCAACTGGATACCGGTGAACAGCCGCATGTATACGGTTCGACTTCGAACCTCTATTGCTTGTCTTTTCATCGCCTCTGTTTATGCTCTTACTGACTGCTTTTCGGAGGATACCAAAGACGATTTCTACCACCATCTTCCATTTTTTCTTCGCATGGCGAAGGATACTAACATTGTGGCTGTTGTTCGTGAGTTAGATGCCCAAGATTATGGACAAAAGCTGGGAGGGCTCTTCGGAGTCGACGCATGCTGAACAGACAGTTGTGATCAACTTCTGCAGCTGTGCGCCGGACACAACCTTTACCATATCAGCACTTTTTTCCAGCAAAAGCGCTCACACCGCGTCGCCTGGCGCCCACTGAACTCCTCAATGACCTGGACCCAAATTGACCATATCAATATCAGCTACAGATGGCACACATCAGTTGAAGACTGTCGGTTAATCTGGAGCACATGCCTGGATTCCGACCATACTCTAGTGCGTGCATGCTAGGCGCTCACTTTCCACTTCAAAGAGGCGCCATCTTCTAATCTCACCTGTAACTGCGGTTCTATCATGTGAAAACGAATTGGCCCACTAATTGTTAATGATGAATACAGTTAGTGAGCCGAAAGCTGACTGGAATCGTCTCAAGTGTGCCACAAATAATGCCTCTGACGCTTGCTGTGCACCCGACTTGAGACGTCGCAACTGTGAATGAAAGGGTTCCGATGGGAACTGAATTTCAGCGTATCTATGAAACGACATCCGGAGATGGCCGCATCATCTCCGGATAACCGCAATAAAAAAATACCGCCAGTATAACCACCAAACGCTGTCGTGGGTATATATGGTTGGCGGCGTCCGGTTTCGGATTTGCCTGTCACTGTGGCAAGCCACAGGAGGCCTGCGCCTACAGAGGCACCATGGATGGCTTGCGCTGCACCACCCACAGCTCCAACCACACACCCCATATCCAGTGTAAACCCGAAGGAATAAGACCGGAAGGCATGTGGATGGGAGGCACGTTTCATAAACGGAGCCGGCCCACACTCCTTCACAGGTAAACACAAGCACGCTGTATTTGGGGAAATCAAGCGCACACAAGGCGGTGGCTGGACCGTAGTCCGCTCCACATTGAGTGCATGGAACCGCTCTTCGAGCCTAGCACGGCCACAAGGACCGTGCACCCCGTCCCCTCCAGCAACGACCAACTGTCTCCTGAAGCCAGTATGGACGAGGTAGTGGGTAATAGACAGGTAGGCACCTTGTCAACATGCACATCAAGCGCAGCCACATCGGGGATATCAAACAACAGCCAAACACATTTCGAGGGAGAAGAGGAAGACGGTATATATATATATATATATATATATATATATATATCCTGATTGTGCCCCATGCTGAGGCTGATGTTGCATTCATGATGCATCCTCACCGCAGTTGGGCTAAACCAATCTACACTTAAACTAGGTCTTTTTAATGTGGATAAAATTCATTCCACTTTATTTGGTATGTTCTGCGTACTTGATAATCTTCTCACTTGCACACGTCGCTCATGCAAATTATGGTAAACTTGAGTAACTTTATCGCGTGGTATTTTTTAAATAACTTTCAGACATTTTGTACTTATTGCGGATTCACTTATAACCAATTTCTTCCATATGCTCATTTAGCGAGTATTTATGTCGCCATATGCGTTTACTTTATTCGATATTGGCATTTCGAATGCTTGACTGTTGTTTGACATCCCAGGTGTGGCTGCGCTTGATGTGCATGTTGACAAGGTGTCTACCTGTCTATTACCCACTACCTCGTCCATACTGTCTCTAGGAGATAGTTGGTCGTTGCTGGAGGGGACGGGGTGCACAGTCCTTGTGGTCGTGCTAGGCTCGAAGAGTGGTTCCATGCACTCAGTGTGGAGCGGACTACGGTCCAGCCACCGCCTTGTGTGCGTTTGATTCCCCAAATACAGTGTGCATGTGTTTACCTGTGAAGGAGTGTGGGCCGGCTCCGTTTATGAAAAGTGGCTCCCATCCGCATACCTCCCGGTCTTATTCCTTCGGGTTTACACTGGATATGGGGTGTGTGGTTGGAGCTGTGGGTGGTGCAGCGCAAGCCATCCATGGTGCCTCTGTAGGCGCAGGCGTCCTGTGGCTTGCCACAGTGACAGGCAAATCCGAAACCGGATGCCGCCAACCATGTGGATGGTCATATTGAGCAACAACTAACCGTTTGATTCTCGGTAGCAAACAGTTTTTATAGTCTAGGCACTCGAAGTCGTTGGAAAGCGTCACAGCGCCCGTAATTTAGATGCGACAATTGAGCGTTTAGTGTAGAGGGTGAAACAATCCATCTACAGTGCATCTGTTGCCACCGTATTTGAGACGCCATGGCAGAGACGACCAGTGGAAACGGAATTCAATAAGTTTAGCTCTATAACTTATTAGAGTATCTGTTCCCACTTTATAGATGGTTGAAGAAGTGTTGTCAGCGAATAAGCGTACAAATGAGTGGGTATATGGGCTTCTCACTAAGAAGCAAGGTAGGTTTTTAAAACGATGCTGCATCCGTCTCCGAAGTAAAAGCAGCTTATTGACCCATCCAAAACAATGCATCCAGGTTTATCCAATTTAACCAACACATAGGAAGATCTGTGCATAATAAAAGGGGCTACAGACCGCTATTTGGAAGAAAGTGACTAATCATTGAGGGACGTGAAGGGCGATTGTGTAACGTTGGAAAACAGAGGTGGATAACCATTTAAAATGTAAATGAAAAGACGACAAGCTTAGGAAGATTGGAATGTATAAATAACAGAATTCGGATTCGGAGGTAAAACAGGATGATGTACGCTGTCAAAGCTCCAACGTAATAACCACCTCGCTCAAACATGCTAACGGAATACCGTCAGTTGTTATGTGAGATAGCAAAATGCGAGGTGCGCTTGCTTGATATTGTTACAGTTGTACTGCTCAGTTATGCTACCGGAATTCTCTCAAAAAGCCCCGGATCGATACAGTGGCAGCAACCTAGAAGATCTACTCTACCACCGCCCCCGATTTCAGTCCACTTGCTAAATGACCAGTTTGTAACCAATGAGTAGTCATGGGAAGCTTCAAAATTAGTGACATAGTGTTATCCGATGGCACAGAGGTGTTGAATCCATACCTCCAGACAATAGTTTCATGCCAATATGGTCACGTCAGACTATCACCATTGTGCTGTCGCTAAATGAAATGTATACTAAGCAGAGAGTAAAGTACTACAAGAAATGGAGCCGGATCAGTAAGAGACCGAAATGTGGTCTTGTTCCCGAACGCTACGTGGCACCTCGAGCCACATACACAGTAGCTGAAATAGCTGTTCGATGTTATTATCAACAGCTTGCCCTTGCCCCAGTTTAGATTCCCAAACACTATCGGAATATCAGCGCAGATCTGCTGCGCTTCCGCCGCTGTTTTTCGGAACACGTTTGCGTAACAAGATTACCGAAATAGTATATCAGTAGTTCGTAAGTTCCTTGGAAACGACAAAGCAAAGGCGTCCAAATTACAAAACTACTCTGACGCTATTTGTCAAATACAGTCAGTAGTGGGGGGTCTGAGATGACATGACGGAAGTCTTCATCTAAGTACAAACGAAGTCACTTTGGAAACGATGAGACGCTTAACGGTACATGTCATCCGCGAGCGTACAAACATGTCAACATGCTTATACAAATGGATAAAAACAGTCAATAGCCGACCAACAATAAATGGTCAATTCAAAAGTAGGGGAATAACTTGCACACACACAATTGGCATCGACCATATTAGAATACTTACGTTCAATCACGTGCATGGTGAAGCCATCCAGCGGATTTCGCTGCCCGGGATAGGTACTGCCGAAACTCAGAGTTGTAATTCTGTGGGTCATATTCATCTGTAAAATAATTTTCCGGATACAACAATACTAATCCAACGAAAAGACATAGAAAATGTGTTTCGCTTACCCACGCAGATGTTCTGACTTTGGCCGGCGACTTCAAAAGGTAGTAACTATGGTCCGTGTTATTACTGGTAGGACACGATGTGACGCAATGGCAACTATTTCGTACGGTTAAAGAGGCAGAGCAAACAAGCAATCTGCATCTCCTAATATGGGTTGCGAATTTTACAGAACAGTTGCTGGACATCTAAATTCGCAAAGATGATGTGTGTACTCTGTCCAAACAAATAACATGGCTGATGCAGATGGAAATCACTATCACCACCAGCCTCGAATGTTGCGATGTCGTGAACAAAATAGTACAATATCAAAGAGACATAAAGAACACAATGTAACACAACTATTAACCTTTGTCCCAGTGAGGCCTTGCATGGTGTGCACGTGAACGTGGTCTGAAGCGAAGCTGTTGCCGGGAGCAATGTGAAACGAGCCGGCCACTTTGTTGACATGTAACACCCCGTGAATTCGGCACCCTTCGGTGCCCAGCTTGGCAACATTCTCCGCCCAGTTCTCATCGCGACACTGCTCGAACACAGATATGTTTGACACCACCCAGCGACGTTCGTGGTATGCCATTTGAACATCCTTGCAAGTGTTACAGCACCTAAGTGATGTGGAAAATCATCAGTTGCTCGTAAAATCCACTCAGCATAAGACGAAGATGGTTAAAATTAGGGTTACAATGGCAACAGCAAAATGCAAACGATCAATCACAAATTGATGTGGGGGCTAGTCGCGTTGCATAGCAAGTTCGTCGGTGACAGAAAGGACAAGGCGTATGCCTTCTAATCCAAAAGTCACCAGTTCAAATCTGCGTAAGTGCGAGCGACCTTGCAGTGTACCCAGTCCACATTTGACTGTCGGTGTTCACGTGGCAGCGAATAGTCGGTACGGTGTGTTGGCCTACCGCTTATGCCTTCCATCTCTCCCTTGCATAGCAAGTTAACAAAGAAATCGCAACACATTGTTTCTATCGTTGGCCGGTCAATAAAATAATGACAGTATATCACTGTTATTACAACATACCCCCAAATTAGCTCGAAGGTTAAGGTCGAAAGGAGAAGTACAGGAAACTGCATGAAATAAAAAATGAATTCAATGCTGCTGGACATAAGCCAGTTAGAACTTCTGGGACTGGGTGGTAATGTGCATTCTCAGAAGACAGTGAAAGATCGGAACTGCAACATTAATCCAGCGAGATAATCGTTGTCTTATGGAGGAACAGGGCTTCCATCCCTCATTGGATAAGAGGATACTCTACCGACGAAAGACACCAAGTGATATTTGATACCTTCGAATAGGTTTAGCTGTTGAAGGAACTCCTACTGAAAACGGAAAGAACTAAGACAGTGCACAGATGTCAATGGCTAAGGTGACAACTTCAGAGGCAACACGGTCTAACAGGTTGTTTGTCAGCCGATGACCGAATGGTCTGCACGCCTGCCTTGCAATCATAACGTCACCGGTTCGTATCCGCGTAGGGGCCAGCGGCCTCGCAGTATACTCAGCCCACGCGCGACGGGTGGTGATCGCGCGGCGCGGTTGCGGCGTACAGCTGACACACTACTACTATTACTACGACGATTACGACTACTACTACGAATATTACGACTACCACGACTGACTACTACGACTGACTACCACGATGATTGACTACTACGACTCACTACGCCTGACTACTACGACTAATACGACTGACTACTACGATTTACTATTACGACTGCTACTACGACTACAGGACTACCACTACGACTACACGACTGCGAATATACGACTACGAAACTACCACCACGACTGACTACTACGACTACGAAGACTACTACGACAACGACCACTAAGACTACTAAGAATACAACTAATACGACCACGACAACTACGACTACTAAGACTGACTACTACAACAAACAATGGAGCCCTCGACCTAAAACGTAAGCCCGATAAAATACAACAAACTGCGTGCCAAGTCCATGAGGGGATGGAGTAAATGCATAAAAGAAGGTATAGAGCAATGCCTCAGCACTATTGTCGGTCTCACTATGTTGAATCACGCGCCGCATCAGGCTGGAAAGAAGTCTAACGCCAACTAGGCATGCATACGCAGCTCATACCACAACTATAGCAATCAGTTTGGCCACGTCCCCCATTCGAATGGGAAGCATTAATATTGTTCAGACCGTGACTGTCACACACGTGGTCTCTTCGCCAAGTAATGTGAGCGATTTCATGAAATGCCCATGACATGCCCATATGAAACTAAAATTCATCGAAATAGCATCTCTGACAGCGGTTCTGGTACAAGTTGTAACCCGACTGGAAGCGTCGAACGGAGGTATCTTTCAAGCCACTCACCAAAGCAGCCGGTATATCCGTAAGAGTCCCAAAATGGTATCCCTTTCAGCTGAGTAATAGTTGGAATAGGATTGTCACGGTTTGTTCACCATAAGCTATCTCACTATTTGTGACGTAAGAGACGGTGCATTGCCGCAGAGAATAACTTAGGTGGATGAGCAATCGTTTTTCAGCAACTTAGGCAGTTCCACGTGAAATGCACAGCTGACAATTTGTCGTGGCGGTAGCAAATCTTCATCGAGTCAAAAATGACTGTGAGCAATGATTTCATCCTGGAGTGCCTTATTCGAACTCTCATAGTTCTGTGAGACTGAGTAAAATAACTCAGATCTGTCAATGAACAATGATATATGACAGGTAAAAAAGCGATTGCTTTACAAGTCCCGTAGGATGGTTGAAGTGAAAGTAAACATAAGTGTGAATCGTCAATTTAAGCGTCTAGTGAATTCAAGTGCCCCTTATTCATATAAACGTTGTAGAATGTGTACTGAATTGTTACTGTAGAGTAATATGGGGAAGGCATGTCTTAAGAACAAGAGAAACGACAACGCTTACTCGTGCGCCATTTTCTTGGACTGAGCTAATTGATGAATGCAGTTGTAATATATCCGAAATTATATTCCACAACAGCAGCGTGTAGGTAGTAAAGCACAAAAGCTGAGAATGGACACCGTTTGTTCGCGTTTGGTTGACGTGGGCATCTCTGATTACATAGCGTAATGTAGGTGGATAAGCGAATCATTCAGACGTCTTTTGAATATCGTTAGCGTGGGGGAAGAAACAACGTATGTGGGAAGAGCGTTCCAGTGTTTGCATACACGAAA